ACACAGCAGGACTTGTGGCCACTTCCATGACCACTGTACCTCACAGCACTGTCATGAGAACCTGCTTCAGAGGGTTTCATGGTACTTCACAGAAGGTGATGAGAACACATGGGAAATAGCAGAAGGGAAGAAGCATTCCCCCTGCCTGGTTTTATTGAAGCAGTTCTATTAGATTCATAGTCATAGTCTTGTTTGTATTCCACAATGCAGTAAGCTTAAAAGTCACAAAATATAGTAGACATAATTACTATTATAAAATTAACATTTAAATCCTTTCACTTTTGGCTCCTGGGCTTCATGTCCAGTTAGGCTTGTTAAAATGCCAAGAAATTCCAACAAAACAATACTATTTTCCATTTTTTATGCTGATTGTTAATTGGGAACAGCTATTGCTGATACTTGATTTTATCTGAATAACAATTAATCTCTTTGAACATTTGCAGAATACTCCTGCTTTTTTGGCATTAATATTTAATGACTAGTATTGGTGCAGAGGTTTGCCTTACTGAAAGATTGTATGAAGCATTTTATTTTAATGTCTGAATTTTCTTGGTATTCTTTTAATTTTCTGTAGATGCCCTTAGCTTCTTTACTGGTGATAGTTTTCCTGGTTCACTAAGCCAGCATTTTAGAAATGAGTATTTTAAAATTAAGGCAAGTTTATTAAAACAAAGGTGATGTTGCCAATAGACTAGAATAATTTCCCTAATTAAAAAGAACAAATCACATATGTGAAAGCTCTTAGCAAAAATCTTGTAGTCAGATAACATCATAGTTACTTGTAGCATATGTCTATGCCTTATACCAGGGGTAGGCAACCTTTCCCCTTTACGGGCCGAGGGACTTCAGCTCCCAGAAGCCTCAGCCATGTTGGCCAATAGTCCCATGTTGGCCAATAGCTCCTGGGATTCTGGTAGCTGAAGTCCCTCGGCCCTTAAAGGGGAAAGGTTGCCTACCCCTGCCTTATACAATCTTAATTTTTTGCAGTGTTTATCCTGTATTAGCTATCATTTCAGTTTTAATTATAGAAGCAGTTATGAGTCTTCAAGGTAAGTACTCTATATTTTCAGATACTGAAGCACACTTTATTGCCTTTACGTTGTTCCCTGTCAGTTCATGATAATTGGGGATATGACCCTTCCTCTATAGCAGTGGTTCCCAAAGTTTGGTTCTTTGAATGTTTTAGACTTCAGTTCCCAGAAGCCCAGCCAGCTTGGCCAACAGTCAGGGATTCTGGGAGATGAAGTCCAAAACATCTGGAGGACCAAAGATTAGGAATCACTGCTGTCTGGTGTACACTCGCCCTTCCTCTGTTTGTGCCTTCTAGTAGTTTATGACTTATAATGACCCCTAAGGTAAACCTATCATGGGTATTTATTGGCAAGATTTGTTCAGAGGGGCTTTTGCATTGGCTGAGCGGGGATTCAAACCCTGGTCTCCTGAGTCATAGTCCAGCACTCGAAAACACTATGCCACACTGGCTCTCCTTCCTCTATACTACCTGGAAAATGCATGTAAACCATATGACTCTTTAACACTCACCTTCCTTCCTTTGCTTGCTTTTTTATCATATTTGTCTGAGAAAGAAGCATGTGAGCTTCAAAAAGCAATGCAATGAATTTTATGCCTTTTGGTTGGCCTAGGAAACGTAACACCACAATATGGACTTTGAAATTTTTCTTATGGTCAACATGACTATGTTGGCTTTTTATCTCAGGATAGTTGCCTTCTCTAAAGATAGTTATCCTGAGATGATGTACTTCAAAATGATTTCTCTCCATTGAGGTAAGTATAAGGAAGTCATCACTATAATTCTTGGAATAGCACTCAAAGATTCACTGTATGCACCACTCATTAGCTAATTTATACACTTACAATTTATCCTTAATATTAGCTCAGGTATGCTTGTTGTGTCATCAAATGAACCTGAACCTGTGGAACAGTTTCTAAAGCTATCACAAGAACAACATCGGATTCAACATAGTAATGAATATTCTTATCCAAAATGGTTCATTCCGAATACACTGAAATATTATGTGTTATTGCATGATGTGAGTGTAGGAGAGGAACAAAGGTGAGTAGAGTTCAGTAAGTTTTTTTATTGAAACTTTTAATGAAATGACGATTTAAAACTTAATGTGTCTCAGTGTATAGTTTTAGGATAATTTAGTAGAACCAAATTAGAGTAAATACAGAGCTAAAGTTCCTTTTTGTCTGAAGAAATCAATACCTAATGTAACTTAATTTGGCAAACATACATTTTATACTAAATGGCGCTGACAGTTTTAAATAGGTCATGAACGTAGGGGACCACTAGGTAAAGTATGATCCCTCTTGCTCATGTTAAGAAATTCTTTGTAAGGTTTGTTTTTAAATAGGTCAGCTTTAACATTGCAAATTACACTTGATTTTCAAGACCTATTCAGAAGTTCCTCCAGTGATGTCATCAGAAGATAAAGTGCATAATTATTTTTTATTTAATCCCTTCAGTTAGCGTTGTGCTGTCAGCGGTTCTTCTTGTTTTCTTTCTTAGTAAACAAAATCTCATAAATGTTGTTTGGAGATAACTATTGGGAGATAAAATAGTCCATTGTAGTATAAGAAAATTAATTAAAGTAGGCCCTCCTTTTTTGCAGGGGATCTGTTCCAGATCTCTCCCCCATGAAAACGGAGACTCACTGATATTCAAGCCCCATAGGCTTGAATGGGGTTTGCCCATATGGGGGGGGTGCCCCCCATTGATCTTAACGGAGGTCGCCCCTCCATGAATATTCAAAATCGTGGATCTCAAGTCTGCGAGAACGGAGAGGCAACTATACATTAAAGATTTTGCAGGCTGATTTCTATAAAATAGCCCTTGCCCAAGGTTGCCCAGTGGCTTTCCATGGCTGAGTAGAGATTTGAACTCTGGCCTCCAGAGTCTTAGTCCAACACCCGAACTGATTTGTTGCTGCATCTAAAATGTATAGAATTGCAATCATTTGTAATGATATTCTCAGTCTCTTAACATTTATGTGTCCTCATCTCTTCTTCTGGTGACTCCAGTAATATTTCTGTTCTGTTCTTAATTCATATTGTTGTAGTTCAGTGGTAGTTCATTTATCAGAACAAACAAAAATGCAGAAAAATGTCTACCCCAGTATTTTCCCAGCCCTGGTGGCGCAGTGGTTAAATGCCTGTACTGCAGCCACTCACTCATAGACCACAAGGTTGCGAGTTCAATACCAGCCAGGGCTGAGGCTCGACTCAGGCCTGCATCCTTCCGAGGTCGCTAAAATGAGTACCTAGCTTGTTGGGGGGCAATCAGCTCACAGTTGTAAACTGCTTAGACATCCCATAGTGCGATATGAAGCGGTATATAAATGAAGCTGCTTTGCTTTGCATTTGTATCCCTTCCATGTTTCTTTTGCTTCATTATTAAATCTTTCCTTTTATGTCCTGGGAGTTAGGAAGAATGAGATGTTCCTGACATATTGCTTACTGTAGTGATGGGCAACCTTTGGTCTCTAAATGTTATTAGTCTCCAACTTCCAACAACCATTGCCAACATCTGGAGGGCCAGACATTGTCCTCTGCTAACATTGTGCTTCCTTAATGCTGGCATTATTATTTCTAAATGGCAATAGTTTTGTCAAATGTATCAAAAGAAACATTGTAAGTGTACTCTCAAAAACTCAGGAAATCTGATGGATTCCTGAATGCTCTGTAGGTTTCTCCAGCTGACAGGACTGATAAATACAGTGGTAAAATGGAAAGGGCTATCACACTACAATTCCTTCTAAGGACCCAGTCCTATGCTGTAAAGCCTATAATTCATCTTGATTTATGGAAGATCTGTCGGTGATGAAACAGGCTGGATGTAGAGTACAAGTAGTGTACGTCATGGAGTATGTCTGAAAATTAGTGAGAAATCTTCATCATGCCTATTATTCAGTGGTGAGACTGGCAAAAACTTTATCCTATTATGCCTGTACTATCCTACTCTCAACATGCCGCTCAGCAAAACTGTGCTAGTTAGTGAAGGGCCTATTGGGATCAGGCTAAGAGAAGCTAGGATTAGAACCCTTAGTTGTCTGCTATAAATTTGCTAGGCACTTTGAAGAGAAAATACCTGGTATTCATTCAGAACTTGACACCTTAGTTATTGCAGATTCTGGGGAAGTATCCAGTGTTCCATCTGGTCAGTTTTGTTGAGTCTGATATGGACAAGAAGCTTGAATTGGTTAATTCCATCGCATGTAACCTTGACCCTGGCTGATAAGATTTGGCAAAAGTTAATTGATTAGGTCAGTCAGGGGTGTGTTAAATGCTTCACTGTGCCAGGCGGAGGTGCCAACAACCTTGAGGGGGCTTTAGTATGCTTCCTCAGAAATAGTTCTCATGTTTTGCTGAGTCCAAGGAGGTCCAGGGAAAATCTCCCTGGACTCAGCAATATGTGGGAACTACTAATGTCCCCTTTTTGGGCAAAGTGCTTGAGCATGCTGAGGCCAGACAGCTTCAGGCATTCCTACAGGAAACAGATTACTTGGATCCATTTCGGTCTGGTTTCAGGTCAGGGCATAGCACTGAAAAGATCTTAGGTCTCACTGATTGACAGCCTACTGTTGGTGAAGGATAGGAGTGCTACTTTGTTGATCTTCCTGGATCTCTCAGTGCCATTTGATACCACTGAACATGGTGTCTTACTGAACTAGCTCCATTGAATGGAAGTAGGAGGCACTGCATTGCAGTGATTCCTCTCCTATCCATGGAACTGGTTCTAGAGGGGAGAATTGGGTATTACTTTCAGTCCTATGGCCATTAAGCTATAGATGCCACAGGGTTGCACTTTGTTCTCCATGGTGATCAATATCAATATGAAGCTGCTGAGTGACACGATAAGGACATTTGGGTTGGGCAGCCATCAGTATGCTCATAACACTAAGCTCTACATCTTGTCCTTGCTGAGGCTGTGTAGGCACTGGAGGAGGATCTTTGGTAACATGGATGAGGCCCTGTAAACTAAAACTGAATCCTGATAAGACAGGCTTTGTGGATTGATGGATCTGGGATCTGGGAACTGTGTACACTACCTGTCCTGGATGGGATTGCATTTGCCTTGAGGGAGCATGGGCATAGCTTGGATGTATTCAGTCTCCACCATTGGAATGTCAAGTGGACTACCTAGCTTGATGTGTTTGGTACCAGCCTCAACTGATCCTCCAGCTATTGCCTTTCCTGGACAGGGATTACTTAACAGCAACAGTGCATGCACTGTTAGTTTTTGATTAGACTACAGCAATGTATTGTATGTGGATCTGCTCTTGAAGATGACTTGGGAGCTATACCTAAAGTACAGTGCAGTAGCTAGACTGCCGACTAGAACACTGTATAAAAACCATATAATACCAGTTTTAAACAAATTGCATTGGCTAGCAATATGTTTCCAGTCTAAATTCAAAGTGTTGGTAGTGACAATCAAAGTGCTAAATGGTTTTACTAAATGGTTTTGGAAATGGTTCCAAATTTAGGGCTTTGATTGTCACCGTGAACACTGAATTCAGACTGGAAGCATATTGGTAGCCAGTGCAATTTGTTTAAAAACAGTGTTATTTGGGCTTGAAACATATGTGCCAAAAGGGCCACTGTTGTGCCACATTGGGGCGTGGCGTTTATCTGATGCACAAAACGCGGCCGAGAGCCATGCTGAGCACACCCCAACCTGAAGGAGCCAGATCAAAAGCAAGTGGAAAAAACTGCTCCTTTTAGGCAGCCTGTTCAGGACTGAGGTTGCTGTGGTCCCACAGCAGTCAGGGCAGGAGAGGCCTCTCGCTTCTCCTTTTGTCCCATCTGAGGCCATGGTAATATAATTTATGATTGCTGTCATTCCAATACTAAGAAAACACATAGAGAACATGAGCATTTATTGAGGCTTTGGTTGTCCTGATTGATTTTGTCCAAATATGCACATGAATGATTTTAAGTTGTTTTCACTAACTGCCCTGCTGTGAGTATTAAATACTTAATATGTTTTTATCCTTTATAATTACTGTTTTAAATTGTTTTAAACTGTTCAAGTTCATTATATTGTATCCTCAGATATAGGATTGGGTATAAATGTATGTATAAATAAGTAAGTAAGTAAGTAATATCAATAGCAAGTACATTTCTATACAGTTTATCAGTGCATTTAAGCACTCCCTAAACAGTTTATAATGTGTAAGCCAATTTCCCCCAACAAGCTGTGTACTCATTTTAGCGACCTTGGAAGGATACCAGTGCCATTTGATACCATTGAACATGGTGTCTTACTGAACTAGCTCCATTGAATGGAAGTAACGTAATACAATACAATAATACCTTTTACACTAGCTATATAGATAAGATCTTTTGCTTTGTAACTCAAAGTGCACTAAAAGCCTATAGGGATTCTAATAAAATAGGAGATAAACTGCTTGAGTCTGAAGCAATCTGTCCTTGATGTAGTAAATATGCATTTTGCA